TTATTTGTAGTTTAATCACATATAGAAAAATGGCAATTGTTTCATATTAATTTTTTGGAATTTATTGAAGCATTTTTTTAGATTGAATATTTTCCATGTACTGAAAAGAATATATGTTCTCTGTCGTATATGTATTTCTAGATATCTCAACTAGTTCAAGCTTATTATTTATGCTTTATTTTTTGATTGTTTATGTCTTTGTTTATATTTTGTCCATTGGATTTATTGTTTCTCCCAAGAGTAATCTTAGTTATTGCTTTATACATGTTAAGCCTATATTTTTGGATTCATATATGTTCATGATTATTATATCTTCTTGGTACTAGTAGGTGACATCTCTCATTGTCACTTTTGATGTTTTCACGTTGAAGTTTATTTTGTCTTGTTACTAAAATTTTGATAGATATTCCCTTACTGATCTCCAAAAAAGGTTATACTTATTTGTACTGCACTTGACTTATACCACATGAGATCCCTTGTTTCCCCACACTCTCTGACAAATTTTAAGGCCTGTGTATCCTAGCTTTCTGTCTTTATTGGTAGCTTGGGAAAAAGGACCTGTTGCATGGTTCTGGCACTTTTAATCTTCTTTTATTCCCTACCCATCATATTCTAACCACTGTCTCCATAACTAGGTCACTCCAAAGAGTGTCCTGACTATATTAAAGGATGGTTCTTGGAAAATTTGACTTAATCATCTATTAAATCACATTTTACCCTTCCTCTTGTGGTTGCCCAGTTTTCACTGAGGACAAGATTGGCCCACCTTCTCACTCAGATGTGTCTTCCCTTGGAGTCTACTCTGAGCAAAGAGTAAAGTGGTTCCTGCTATAGTTACCCTGCAGTTGTAGGCATGAGCATAGGCTGCTGTGGTCTTCTGCTTGCTGTAGATCTGGGTGCCACTCAGTTCAAGCTTCAAGGAGGCAGAGGGCCAGGAGGCGAACAGTTGACCCCCTAATCCTGTTGCTTTGTTGTTGGTTCTGCTTGTGTACCCTGGTGCCTGAATTCATAGCATGATTTGAGGATGCTGAGCTCCACTGATTCCCATACCAACCCTGGCCTGAATGACTCTTGAATTCTGCTACATGACTGGTAAACTGTCAGTGGAGTTTGCTGCTACCCTGACGCCCTTATATGACATCTTCTCTACAGAGTTATAACCGTTATGGACCTAATATCTCTTGCCCATTGTGAGACTTCCCTTAACATTCCCCTCAGACCCTCAGTCTGCCATTCTCTTTCTCTGCCTTTCACTTCTACCTCCCACATGCTGACTTTGTGCTTTCATAAATAGCTAGGCTCCTTGGACAACTTCTATGGAGGCTTAAATGTAACATCCTTTGCATCTGTAGAATATTTTATATTCTTCAAAGCACTTCCATCTTGTTGTTTGATCCTCACATAAACTCTTTCGGGTATGTAGGTTGGATATGTTATCCTGATTTTACTGATGAGGATATAGAGACAGTGATTAGGTACCTTGCCCATCCCTAGGCACTTAGTTAACGTGGGACTAGTATTAGGACACAGTTTGTTTTTGGTTGGTTATTTCGTTCATTTATTCATTCATATACTCATATTATATCGAGAGGCAGCAGAATAGAGAGAGCAAGGGTTTTAGGGACAGACAAACTTGATTTGAAACTTGATGCCATCCCTTATTAGCTGTGTGATTTTGGTCATGTACTTTTCCTCTCAAAAGATCGATTTCCTTGTTTGTAATATAGGGAAAAATTATGACGTAATGTTTATGTATGATTTAACACTATATGAAAATTACCTGGCAATAGTAGTGTCTGGCATATGAAAGGTTATAGGTAAAATGTTGTTATAAATATATAATATATAAAATAGGCTACTGTTATAGGTAAAAAGGGTTAAATATTGACAATTTTGTAGTGGTAGAAACTCAATGGCTACCATTATGGAGTCCTTCCCTATTGTATATGAGGCCCTGCTAGACCCCAAGAATGGAAACAGAAATGAGACAGGGTCTTCTTTGTGGGGCTGTGTCTTCTACTAGACTGTCGTCCTAGAGATTAGAGCCTATGTCTGTTGTATCCTTACACCAAGAACAGTGCTTGCTAGAAAGCTCAATAAATGCTTGCTGAACTGAAAAGGTCCCTGTCCACAAGGAGATTATCAAGTAGTTAAGATAGGCAGGCACATGATCATATAACTATAGTAAACTGTTACAGGTATTTGGTAGACACATGTAGGCTTTGGTGAGAGCTAAACGGAAACAGTACTCAGTTCTACCGGGGGAGGGTGAAGTGCAGTGGAGAAAAGAGGGCAAAGCTTCACAGGGCAGGTGCATCAAGACTAACACATGGTCTGTCCGTGGAAGGAAGCAAAACCAGTTTGCTTATCTTGGACTACATGCTTACTTTCAACTAACCCCCTTCTAATGTGTGAAATTGAGTTTGTATTCAAAGCAGCTTCTTTGTCTCACAGTCCCTCTGTTACTGGTATCTCCCATAATGTGTTGCTTTTAAAGTGCTTTGCTCTATCCTGAGTATAAAAGAGACGCTCAGTAAAACCAGATTCTATTCTTTGAGAGTCACAACTAGCCATTGCATAACAAAGTATAATATATTGTGTAAGAAGAAATAGAGGAACACAAGAGATATTTTATAGAGAGAAAATAAAACATCAAAGTGGGAGAGTGTAGAGTGCATTAAAGTTAATAAACTGTTGTGGCAGAGTGGACCACTTTTCAGTGTGAAGGAATCTGATTTAATGACTGGTAACTGTAGGATTAGAATCTCGTTGGAATGAGGTTAGCTGCTAATTTTCCCAAATTCTAAATCTTTTGGTTTTTCTTGAGAACTAGTCCTTGAAAGTGAACAGATTATTATTATTGTTGTTGTTGTTGTTATTTTGCCAACAGCTCTTTGAGATGCTAAACCAATTTGTCTTCCTCTAAATATTCAGTGCTGTTCAACTCTATGTAGTGCTGCTTTACTTTAAGCTCTAGGAGGAGGAATTCAGGCCCTGGCTCTCCTGATAGATTGGGTACAGTTCATCAGCATGGGTTTCCAGGGCTTGTATAGTCATTCTCTGTTTCCACAGAGACACGGAGACCAGAAAACTGTCAAGAGTGAACTTTGCTCAGCCATGAACCACTGAGCTACTCGTCTTATTCGCAAGAGATAGACAAGGCAATCGATACAGGTCTCTTTCTTGGCAGTGTGGAAGGATGACTACCGCAGCAAGAGTTCCAAAATGTTTTCTGCCAAGAACTGGATTGGATTTTGTGCTTCTTCAGCCACAAAATGTCCCCACATCTTGCTCCCAAATCATTAATGCCCTTTGCAGTCGGTCTGCTCAGCCTGAATGCTTCCTTATCTTTCTTTATTCAATGCCCTCATTATTATTGTTTTCTTGTGTTAGCTAAACTCTCAAAGTTTTTGGCTGCCTAGTATGTTACCTTTTTTTCCAATCAAGCTGGAGATAATAAGCTGCATTTTCATCCTTGATTACACTCTCTCTCTTTGTAGAAAAATGAGAATTCCTGGTTCTAGTTTTGGGTACAGTTTGTAGAATATTTCCTTGGAGTATAAAAATGCTATGTTTGTGTATTGGCAGGCTGGTATTATAATATCATTGACCTTGGGAAAATTATATCACTGTTTTGAGCTTTAGTTTCTTCATTTGAGAAGGGAAATAAGATGACTAATTTATAGGGTTTCTATGAGGACCAAAGATATTGCATAGGAGGAAATGCCCAATACAGCACACAGCACGTGGCAGATGTACAGTAAATGATTATTTAAAACAAATCAAAGCAACATAAGCAGAACCAGTTCTTTTTAAATAAGAAGAGCTCTTTGAGAATGGTGAGAAATGTAAAGAGAAATGACCAAACTCTATAGAGAGCTGTGTCCTCAGTCTGGTTCATAGTATAAGATTTAGGGGCATTTGTGGAAGTAAAAAGGCATGAGTTTGTTGTAGCTAAAGGTAGTGAGTTGTATGTAACCATGGAGTCAGTCATTTCAGGGAAGTCACTGCTGTAGGATGTCAAGGAAAATTTTTCAAAGGTGACTCTAACATTACTGCAGATATTAGTGGTATTTGTCCAAATCGCTATACTTTGATGCATAAACATATCAGAATAAAACTATTCCTTGCAATAGTTGGTGACGTAAGAGGCATGCACGGTGTAATGCAGTGGAATGTAAATTGGCCTAGAAGTCAGAAGGTCTGGGTTTACATTCGTTTCACTTAATTGATTGATGGTTTTGGACTTCTTAGCTTCTTTGAGCCTTAGCTTCAACATCTATAAAATGGGGATGGTAATATCTTTCTTATTTTTCCCCCGTTGGCTTATTGTAAGGATCGATTGAGATGTTTTTAAAAGTACGCCCACATATTGGTTGTTTTTTTTGACTTGGTAGTAAGAGCCAGATACTAAAAGGGTTGCTGAAGAATTTTCAGGCTCTTGTCCTCTTTGGGGTGAACATGAAGTAAAGGCAGCAAGAATGTGGGGCTTATGTATCTGCAGCTCCCTCTATCCAGCTTATCCAGACCATGTTTTGTGGCTAACCTCTCCTGAGCCCATTTTGCTGCCCACTTTGCCTGGCCACTGCCATTCCATTGGCCAAAGAGCAGACTAGGATGGGTTGTGACAGGAGTGCCAGGGATCACACAGCAACAGTAAGACCCCTTCTTGGAGACTTCTGCGTTTATGCCCTTGGCATGACTGCCTGGACCACTTGCATCCGCTTTGCCTCATTTGTCTCTTTCTGTTTGCTGCTGATGGCTATACCAATAGCATCTTTTATTATCTTGCTCAAGGATTTCTGATGCTTTTGAAAGTTTTTTTTTTATCTCACTCTGCTGAGCCAACGTGAGAGATATGAGAGTAGGCTAGAAGATGGAAGTTGGGTTTGATGATCAAGAAAAGGAGATAAGGCCCTTGACTTGGCAGTATCAGCCTCTTCAAAGACAGGTCATGTAGTGTGGGTGTTGATTTAACCACTCTGTCTTTGTGTTTCCAGGGAGTCGACGAGTTGAAGATGAAGCCCAGAGCAGAGTGCTGTTCTCCCAAGTTCTGGCTGGTGTTGGCTGTCCTGGCCGTGTCAGGCAGCAGAGCTCGTTCCCAGAAGAGCCCTCCCAGCATTGGCATTGCTGTCATCCTCGTGGGCACTTCAGACGAGGTGGCCATCAAGGATGCCCACGAGAAAGATGACTTCCACCATCTCACTGTGGTGCCCCGTGTGGAGCTGGTAGCCATGAATGAGACTGACCCAAAGAGCATTATCACTCGCATCTGTGATCTCATGTCTGACCGGAAGATCCAGGGGGTGGTGTTTGCTGATGACACAGACCAGGAAGCCATCGCCCAGATCCTTGACTTCATTTCAGCCCAGACTCTCACTCCCATCCTGGGCATCCATGGGGGCTCCTCTATGATAATGGCAGATAAGGTAAAAGGGGGCTACAGTAAGAAGAGCCTGGGAGATTTGTATTGAGAACTAAATGATGCATTTGTTTTAATGCAAAACTTGATTATGAAAGATGGAAGGTAACCAGAATGCACTGAGTGTAATGAGACCAGGAATTAGTCTGATTGCTTAGAGGTGAAAATGGAGGAAAGACGCTGGTATCTAGAAGCTCCTGTAGTTTTGAACAGATTTGTGTGTGCATTTGTTGGTAAATGGATTCACTGAAATGAGTAGGAGATATTGGAGCTGTAGTTCTGTGATAGATTTTCTTCCAATATGTGTATACATAGCTCCTTCACAACTTTAAAATAAGGTGTGCTATATTTTTCCTTGGTAATACTTGTTCTCCCTGCCATACCAGTTTCAAGAATATAAAAAGAAAAATCCCTTGAGGCACATAATTTCTCTCCTTGAAGATACAGATGTTATGGAGAAGTATTTCTTGCTAAGGTGTCTAGGCTCATCACACGTTGATCTGCACTTTGAGTGGATTTTAATCCATAGAACCAGTAGCAGCTGCGTTTTCCCCATGCATAGATTTGAAGGTAATGGTTCTTAACCTTGGCTGCCTACTGGAATCACCTGAAGAGTTTTCAACACCGCCAGTGCCTGTGTCCCACCCTCAAAGATTCTGGTTCTTGGCCTGGGTTTCTGGATTTTGAAAAGCTCCCTAGATGATTCTAGTGTGCAGTTAAGGCTAAGGACCACTGCTTTAAAGTCTAAAATAAATCCTAGTGTCTCCTATATTAATATCATCTGACATTGAGGCTTATTCTCTAACTGCAGAAAAAGTGTTTTGTTTGTGGTTATGTTTTGTTTTACATTTTCACTTGTTCAGTTATTTTCCCTTGCTTTACTGATTATTGGTTTTTGTGTACATACAGCATTTCTCACATATGTATTGTCCTTTGCAGTCATTCATATCTTAGGATGATTCATTTCACCCCAAGTGCAATATTTATTGTTTTTTTATAACTTTGGGTTTTTAAAATAGTTTGCACCTTTGCATTGTCATCTTATACTTGTTAACATCACTTTGAAAACAGCTTTAGTTTTCTACTTAAAAGACATGCCTTGGGGTTAATGATGTTTGTAAACACTTCAAAACCTAGCACAGACACCACAAGCCTGCTAAGTGACCAGCTGAGAACCAGCACAGTGCAGGGCTTAACCCAGTGAAATAACCTTGCATGATCACTGTCGCCATCTGTTGGCAACAGTCAGAAATGGCTAGCATCTGTTTTGGAGCTTCCTCTATTCAATCTAGGAAAGGTCAAGTGGAAAGTGCTAAGTGGAGGAACTTCAGTAGCATATGAGAAAGATATTGTCCCATTCACATGGGCGTGGGTAAAGATGTTAGAAAACAAATGCTGGCATGAGAAGCCCATGCTAAGGGAAGTGGGATAAACTTAAGGGAAATGGAAAATATAGACTGTGGCAAAACCCATTGAGTTTTTGCTTCAGGTAGATTTTTTTTAACATCATTGTCCTTAGCAAATTATATTATATTTTAGCAGTGGGAGTTTGAGGGCACAATATGGCACTGAAAGAATGCCAAGATGGATGAGCCAAATTTTTGAATCATAAATAAGTGCGTACTTATTTTGAGAGCAAGACAGGTGACAATCTTTTTTTTTTTTTTTTGCTTATGTGAGCTGTCATGCAACCGTGTTATTTCAGATCCACTGCTCCCTCCCCTCACTGCCTCTCCCCAGTTTAAAAGGTTATTGTCTAAACTGGTTGGTTGCTTCTCTGTTGTCTATCTTACAAATGCGTAATAACAATATAATAATATGAAGTAAGATGCACACCATGTGGAGAGCCTGGGCCCTTTGGTTCACCGATGTATTCTAGGTGCTTTAGAGTGTTTATCATAGGCTGGGGACATAGTGCTTTGCACTCATTATCTTTAGTACTTTTAACAATCCAGTGAGCTCAGTAGTAATATTCGTTTCCATTTGACAGATGAGGAAACTGAGCCTCAGAGACATTAAATAACATATCCAAAATGATGTAGCTAGTAAGTGGCAGCCAGGATTTGAACATTGGTTGCTGATTCCAAAGGCCATGCACTCTCTTGCCTCTCAAGAAAGTGGAGAGGCTGGTTAAGGTCTCACATACCTTCCTATTCTTTACTTTCTTCTCTGTTATATAGCATTGGGATGGAGGTTATCTGACTAAAAGTAATCCATCAATTGATTCATAATGGTAATACTGGAATCTGACTAGAGGAGAGAATTAATGAGGATACAAAATGATGTATCTCTCGGTGTAGCATGATTCCATAGAGAGTCCATTGGTTACTGCTTCTAGGGGTAACAGAGAGGATTAAGCCAGTGAGGTGGATTCTTTTAGGTCATTGTAATGAGATTCTTCTCTGGTCTCTTTCCACTTAGCCCCATCCTCCCCCATTGCAACCACACCCAAATATTCCATCTTTTCTTTTCTCTCTCCATCAAAAAAAGGAGGTGGGCAATGATTTTTAGGCAATTTCCTAAAATAGCCTAAACAGTATTTAACTGACTTTTGGAGTGAAAAAGATAAGTTTTCAAAAGGTAGGTAAGAGGAAGAAAAGGAAGAAAGAAGGAGGTCCTGATAACATGGAAGCTCAGCCACCAGGGGTTAAATGCCTGAATGGGCAGCTGGTGGTTGCAAAGGAGGGTGTAGCAGGACCCACCAGGACTGAGAGGGCAGCAGCGCCAAGGTTCCTGGGAGCTGTGCAGAGGGACCTTCACAGGCTTAAAGGATTTGCATGAAGGCAAGTAAAAAGAATCCCGCAGATCTCAGAGAAATAAACTTTTGGGGCAAGTTTCAGAAATAAAACACCTCTAATTCTAAGACCATTTTTCAAAATAGAAGTTTATTTTTAAGTATCATCAACATATTTTACAAACATGGAATGAGGACACAGAGTTTGACAACTATGAATCAACTATGGGGCAATAGGACAAAACATTTGAAAGTAGAACTGAAGCAGAAAATCTAAGAAATAAAACTGCTCTATGTTAAAGGGATAGTCTTCAAGGTATAGTTACCATCTGAAGGATGATAAATAAGTCTTCCATTTTGCTTCCCTCTTCTAGGAGATGGGTAATTACCTCTCCATTTTAACTTAGGTTCTTTTTTTTGTTAGTTTGTTTCAAATAAAACCCACTTATTAAGTGTCCTTGTGGAGGATTGTATTACAGGAATAAAGTCCCTGATTCAAGGAGTTTGTGATAGAAGAAAGCACAGTTATAAAGATTTTTGACAAAAGTAGAGACACAAGTTTAGCATCTAGTCAACTAACTTGTGCTCACTTTTTTTTTGCATATACTAATTAATCAGTACAAACATTAATTAGTGCTCTACTTTTCCAGTGAGGAAGTGCACCTTATGCCATGGTAGAAAGAAGCATAGGAACTGGTAGAGTAGAGCTGTTAAAAGTTCACAATTTGGAGTCAGATCTGGTTTTAACCATCATTTCCTAGATGTGGGAATCTGGACTACTTACCAACCACTTACTCTAAACTTTGGTTTCCTTGTCTATATAACGGAGGTGATAATATATCTGTTATAGAGTGTCGAAGATTAAATGAGATATTACATAGCAAATGCTTCCCTAAGTGTCCAGCATAGCATTCAGTAGGCTAAGCTGAGGGTGATATGGAGCAATTTGAAGGGAGAGGTTTCAAGATACAGAGAAGGAATTGGAATTGAATAGTGTCATGCCCAATTGTAGAGACACTTCTGAACTGGAGACCAAACAAGAAGAGGGCTCAGGTGAAAGTCTGAGGAGGACCTTGAAGTGTGGGATGGGAGCCTTGGTCTTGCCCCACCATGGAAGCTGAGGCTCTTCAGCAGTGTAGCCATGCCATAGGCAAAAAGGGCATGTTCAGTTATAGAAGAGCTCTAACGAGGAAAGAACTGCCAGGCACTTGTAACAAAAGAGTGTTTAGAATAGTAACGGAGAACATTTAAAAATGTATAAGGTGATGTTTGGCAATCCCCACTTGAGTATAAAGAGTCTGTTTTGTTTTGCCTTGTTATAATTGCTTTTATTCTTCCCAAAATACTGGATTTAGGATGCCCATCTGAATCTAAATAATGAACTAGACGTATTTCCATTTCTTTCCAGGAGGTTTCTCTGATGATTTGCTGAAATCTTTCTTGGGTTTTCAGATTTTAGCTCAGAGAGGTAAAATAACTAATCCAGGATATCATAGCCTATGAGCAATGGGACTGGGATTCAAATCCCAGAAGTACGTGTTTTGAAGCTTGTGCTTTCTGTTTATACAGTTCTGCCTCACAAAGCCCTGAACTAAGAATTAGGCCTGAGTTTTAGTTTCCATTCTCATGAGCAGCTTTGGAAATTTGGGCAAAGAAATCACTTAAGCTACGTGATATTCAGTTTACAGTTTATAGGATTTGAATTTTGTTTTCTGCTCTACCCACTTTACGAAATTTTGAAGATAAAATGAAGTAAAGAGTGGTGATAGAGAATGACAGACTTATTGACAACTATTTTGTCACTTGCATTAGGACCAATGAAAATGGCTTAGGCAGGAGGTAGGAAGGAAAACAGAAAGTGAAAGTGAGAGTAGGATCGGGTGAGATGATGCAAGATTTAGTCTTTAATGCTGCAAGAATGGAAGAGAAAGGGTATGCTGCGTGAAGGGTCAGGGTCTGGAAATTGATCAGAGTGAAGTACAATAACTAAAACATACGTCATATTCCATATATTGTTCCTTGTTAAAGGACATACGGAAATATTCTTACTCTGGAGTCTGTTGCTATGATTCTTTCCTTTCTGAATTGCTTAGTTGAGAATTGATGCTTTGAATAGCACTCATTTTCTGTGCAGAGAGCCACATTTTGGAATCCAGCTGGGGCTAGGAAGATACTCCCTGCTCTTCTTTGGTCCTTTCTTTTCTTGCTCTCCCCACTACTCGCTATGCCCCCTCCCACACACACACCTAATGGCAATGTGTTTGGAGAGAGTG